TCCCTCATAAAAAATGAACGGTCCCTTAATTCAATTAATCATAATCGGCTGATCTTTTTCTTCACTTGAACGTTTACTCTCATAAAATCCCGGGCCTATTTCTGGCTCATAACCGGGAGTGCGGAGCAAAAATTCGAGGGAGAGGGTTTGTTACCGGAATAAGAAAATATTAAAGTAGAAACATTTGTGTGCTCAATTACTATACAGAATTTAGACTTGCCACAAGTCGACCTCATGAGCTTCAGGGTAGAAAAGCTAAGCGAGCAAAGCAACCGGGAACGTTTTAGGCCGCAAAGCAGCCGAGCGAGCGATGAAGTAATGAATAAACAAGGCTAAGGACTTTTTTGAAAGTCTACATAGAGTTCAATAGTCATCATCAAAACAGCATTACAGAAAAGTCAACTCACTCAGCATATTCCGTAACATTAAACGTTTCACTGAGGAACGACATTTGATCAGCTTGTTCTCAGTACTTACTTTTTCTAACCAAATGTCGAGTAGCTTACTCAAAACCTCAGTGACCTGAAAGATAAGAAGCACTCAAGGTTAGTGTCCTACGACAAAATCCAGCTAATCCTACGAAAAATTTTTAAAACGTCAAATTAGCTACCACTACATGAAAAAGCGTCTCCTATATATTTTCGTCTGAGCCCGTACGTCTACTATCGCTGATGTCTGGTTACTTTACTTGTCCAGCAGTTTGTTGGTTTGAGTGAGACACACAACCATATTGAGACAGATTGTAGAAGACATGTTCCACTGTAAGACAGAATAAAGCGCTCGTGTACCTCTCGCGTATGCTTATAGAACCGTCAAGGAAACCAGCAGCAGGGAGTTAAGGAAAATAGTTTTAATACCTTAAGTTACTATATGACGGAGAAATTACTTCAATGGGATTGGCTGAGAGCAGGCTAATTTTCCGTTAATTTTTAATTTGCACTGCAGTTCAAATTTATGAACGCGCGTTCGTAATTTGCCCAGATAATAAATGAGTAACCATATGAATGCAAGCGCAAGTAAGGATTCACACTCCTCGTGATATTTAAAAATTCTTTCAATTATCAATCATAGTGCCATTTATACGGTTACCTATTCGAACACCTCCTGGCAATTAACACGACGAAACGCGCGAGCTTGCGTCATACTGGGTGACCAAGAGAGAACTGCTCAAGACTAAGCCAGGAAGAAAGAGATTGTAAGGACATGTGAAGAAGACTCTTTCAATCTTGATTTTCTCTTACCTGTTTGCTAAGCTGCTGTGCTACATTCTCAACAATGTGGCCAAAGGCAGGATAATTGTGTAAAATGATCTCTCCGATTATGCACAGGTAGATGACCAGCAGAGGTGTGTGTTCCTAAACGAAGCAGATCTGTATTAACATTAAGTAGTTATAATGCAAGGGAAAAACGGTAGTGAAATAACCAAATCGAATCTTACAAGAATTTCGTGGCCAACGAGCACTTTAAGCACTTAAACTTTAAATGGATCAGCCTTTAAAAACGTTGCATTCAGAGTAAAAATGTGAAAAGATGTCATTCATCTACTTCATTTGTCATTTTACAACTTTAAAGGAATTTCAAACAAACAAAGGACAAAAGTTTTTAAACTTTGCTCCGTTAGGTTGCAACACTGACAACTATAAATAAAACGCTAGATATGATACTTTCTAATCTAAACCTTTTGAGCATGAATGGTAAACGAAAACTGCAAATAACATAGTACTCTAACAGGCCCTTCGATACTCGTTGCTTTATGTCTTCTATAAAAATAATACATTTACTAGTTCGCTTGTACTTTGTTTAGTCGAATAATTCGTGAACAAACAGCCTTGCTGTGTTGAGGAACTTTACCTCTCCTTCAAGAATCATGTGAAATATTTTCAGCAAGACTGGCAAGAAGAGCTCAGTACCAGTGAGAGGGGAGACTTTGACTATAGTCTCAACAACCTGTCAGGATAAAAAAAAGAAAAAAGTAAGGAAGGACAAAGAAATGGTAAAATAGAAGTTAGCACTACAGGGAAATTTCACTTGAACACTAAGTATAAAGTCTCCATTGGCAAGTGCCCGGTTAAACTGCCAAAAATTAACAGTTTTTCAAAAGTATTCCTTACCCTGGAGAGTATAATGCCTCCCTCTTCTTTTATGTTTCCAAGCATTCTTAAGCAAGCATCCACTACAGGCGCACTAAAATTCTACAACAAATAAAATGGAAAATACGTAAAAAGAAAGACCTAAATGAAAGGGATCATCGAAAGATGATACAATATACATAAACAAAAATATCTTTAATATCAAACCTGAAGAAATTCCCTCTGATCCAACAGAACATAAGATTCGATGATGGCAAAGCATGTTCTGAGGTTCTCAGAACCTAAGTCTGCAAGTCAAGTAAATTATAAGGTTTGCGCAACTGAACGACAAGGAGAGAGGCAGTGAAGGGAAGAAGTCAAAGATAAGAGCAAATGAGCAGTTGTTCACGTTAAGTCAACCAAACTAAATGGTGTCAAAACGTTGGACTTTTACTACTAACAGTTGGCAGTCTTTACATACTTTTTATCCTCTCAAATTTCTTCCTGATCTTTTACAAACGTTTTCAATTTTAATTGACAGATCTGCGTTACGTTATTGCTCTAGGCTTTCTCAAGCTGCTACGACAAATTTTAAAAGGAAGCATTGCAAAAGTTGAGGATCTTGCCTAAGAACAAAAAGCAATACCCCTCCCCAGGGTCTCACTCCAGAGTTCTGGATTTATGGTTGAAATACCAACTGTAAAATACAATGACAATAGGGTATCTGTAACACAGCATCAGTTATCCTTTCTGCGCATAACTGAGCGTCTCATAGGGCGCGATCAGTAGCCTGTGGGCTCACCTTTGAGTCACACGCGCGAGCGAAGCGTTCCGGCGGGGAGGAGTCTGGTGCGGAAGCGCCAAGAAAGTGTGTGTGCCCCCCCATACATGAGCCTGCTCACAGGTAGGCTACGCGCTCTGTGATACACAGTTCGAAAATGATAGCTGATGACGGAACCACAAACCCTTTCCACTCACCTAGTAACGATGGCATATTGACAAACAACTGCAACAACTCAGGGGTCATACAAGATGCATTAACCAAGACATTGTGCCTGACAACAAACAAATAGTTTGTGAACGAGCTGTAAACTCGTCATTAGTGTTTGCAGCATATTGAACGTACATTCTCGTTGGTTCAAACTGTAAGTAAGAAAATGTACCAACTGGCTATAGCTGCTACAAACGGTGCGGATTCAATCCATTATAACCTTCAGGTGCAACGCTTTATCCTTTTATTTTTCCCAACCTCTTTTGACATGACATCTTTCTTTGACGTGGAAACCTCTCAGACTAATTTCGTCGAAACGTGTAAGTCCAATACAAGCACGTAATATTACGGATATTTTTAGCTCTTATCTCGGAGGTCTCTCTGGCATTGCTTTATCAGGGCAACTCTATAAGAGAAGATCTGTCTTCACAGGTCACACCACATCTTACCAGAGGTCCAATCCATCCTCCATTAGGTACACGTGCGGTGGCTACACCAAAAGACAACACAACTTGGTCAGGTTATTGTAATGACAATACGTAAAATATTCTTATCAAAAATAAACTGGCGTTACGTTTTCAATCTTGCTGAACTGATCACTGGATCCAAACATGTTCTAGGCAACAACGACGTTGATACTGCTCCTTCGGTCAGTCAAGCAAAACCCAAACAGACGCTGCTCAATCAGATGCACCAATGACGAGTTGGCTACTACAACGATTCCCACACTTGGCAACAGTTAGATATTTAAGATATTCATTGTTATAACTATTGACAAATTGACATAGTGACTGGCTTTGTGTTAATTTTCCCACGTAAATCTTACTGCAGTCACTTGGAAAGTATTACAACTGTAAGCCCAAACAAAGAGTGATACCTGCGAAACATCCGTGCTGAGCTGAATCAAGGGTACTAGAAAAGAGTACATGCTTCTGCTTAACGCACCCAGGCCCTAGAAAACGACATGAAAAAAAATATGATGTGTCACCATGAAACAACAATAACAGAAAACTTGCCGTTTGTTTATTTATGAGAAAATTAATCGTTTCAACTCTAAACATTTTTTAAGGGTTACTTCTTAGTGACTGGTGGCACATCAAAAAGTGTACGGTATCAAAAAAAGTATATCAAGTTGCTGGTGATTATTGTTTCCTGTCTTCTACGTAAAGCAAGGAAAATTTTATAATGCCAATTATTGATTTTCATGAGTAGAACTACATTTTTTTACAACACTTAAACATATGTGTTATTTGTTTGAACAGAACAGTCATAGTATTTTAAGGTGCTGTAAATACCTCATAGATTTCAAGGTCATGAGTGCAAGCTCTAAGAAAGGAAACGAGGCACTACACAAGGAAAATAAAAAAATCTTTTGACGTCAATGTGATTTGAAAGGACGAACACAAGAATAGTTCACCTTTGCTCTACCGACTGATCTACAAGACCAGACGAGAACAGGTTGTTATAATTAAAAATTTAAGAAGGTAATTCGTAGCAAAGCAGTTGCTGAAGCAACGTTTAACCACTCTAACACCAGTAATAACCATTATTTTATTTCCGTAAGAATTGATTTTCAAACCTCTACAAGGTGGGTCATGGTGGACACTATTGCACATCGAAGCATGTTGTGGTCACCTGATGTCTGCCACAGTTCAGGAAGGTAGAGCGACAGTGACGCAGCAAACGGTTGAACCTTAAGAGAGAAAACAAAACTACACAGATGAGCGANGTAGTCCCAAAAGAAGTAAAGTTCAAATTTAATTTAGTGACAGAACAAAACAAAAAACAAGCAATGTAAGGTGGATCTGGTGGTTCTTTCTTTAGAGTGACAAACTCTGCTTACTAAAAAGCTTTTTTGCAGGAGGTCCACTATTAAAATAAAATAAATATATTAAATTAATTAATAAACTAGTACACCAAAGAAAATACAAACTAGTTAAAAAGTAAGTACATAAATTAAAATGATTATTTACAGTTTAAAGTTGAAGTAAAGGGTCTTACTGTACATTACTAAACTCCAGTAAATGTTTAGAACTTGTAGAGGTGATGGACACATACCTTGAGGAAGAGTTGTTTAATTCATGAAGAAGTTGGTTGGTAAACCAGAGATCAAAATCAATCTCATCAAAAAGGTCATATGATGCCAGTCCACAGGCATTATAAACTAAAGAAAATTATAGTAAAAAATATCTTTAATTAAATTACTTAATTTCCCAAGGCAACCTTTTCAGTTGAACATCAAACAAAACATAATGCATTGGTCAATATAAAAGAAATAAACTGTTAGTATCAATATAATATATAAACATACATCATGGTTTTGAATACTTAGGGACGTGAAAATTACATTCTTATCTGGTTTAAATACCTGCATCCTTTTGTAGCAAGACGCTCATATCATCTGATGGTGGGGATCCTTGTGAAATAAAACACAAACACCTCATCACAAACAACACACAATTTCATTTTAAAAACGTGAATGTCCAGCAGAAAAGGGTCAATAATTATATTTAGTTTTATACCATCTTAAGAGGAACTGTAAGTGAACACTCTATTTTACAAGAATAAAATTAATTACCATCACATGACAACAAGAACTTTTACAACTTACAATAATTATTATTGCAATAAGGATGACCACCGAAAACTAATGGTACGAAACGTACTGTATAAATACCACATTACTAATCAAGAAAGTTAAGCAAATTGTGAAATCTAAATGATTTTGTCCAGTGATTGTGCCCCATCCATTCCCCTCACAAAAAAGGCATTCCTACCCCCACTATTAGGAAATTTCATATGAATTTGAAACCTCCATCCCCACAGAACTTCAAATGACCTTCCTGGGGTTTTCCATTTTGGCCAATGTACATGTAGATGACAGTTATTCACATATCACGCAGCACTCCAGATTCAGTTGTTCTACCGTCTTCAGAGTAAACACTGCACCACAGTGTAATCTTCAAGGCTCAGTGTGACAAAGTCTTACCTATGCAGTTAGTCTAGTTTTCAAATGCCACTAGTAATTAGTTACTCAGATTTGAACAGGAGAATTGGAGCTCTTAACTAAGTTAAACACAATTTTCACCCATACCAAAATTAACATAAAATTACTAAAAGGACCTCCGCTACCACTTTCATAACATTTTTTGGCGATTTGAGCAAATTCAGACCCTGTAATATAGACAAATAAACTACCACATGCATAAGGGCACCAACCTGACAACGTGTACAATTAACAAATTGACATCAGTTTTTCGTGTGTCTGTCCTGTTATCAATGATGAATTTCGTCATAACATTGTCAAAGTAGCTGTGGATCCACAGACTACTTTGACAATGTTATGACAAAATTCATTGTCAATAACAGGACAGACATATGAAAAACTGATGTCAATTTGTTTTTTACGACAACAGATTGTCAAACTGTCTGCTCTCGCTCATTGGCGCATTGCATAAATGATAAATCCATGTGTCTGTCCACATATTGACGATGAAAATTAGCCAATGAGTGTGCAAGAATTTCTGCAGTTATCGTAAAAGAGGCCATTTCCGAGTTGCCTTTTGCCTCTGTGTCAAACCGAGTCTTTATATGAAACCATCCATATGAGAATGTGTTCTGCCTACAGGTTCATTTTCATGCAAATCAAACTCATTTTCAAATGAAAGGTTTTGCACGAGGCCTCGTTTTGAAACAGAGGTAACTCAGGGTAACTCAGATATGGCTTAGTAGATATGTTTGAGTGATCCTGATTCTAAAGACGGCAAAACAGTTTTCAGGTTATGCAGTATAATGATAAAAATGTACTCAGTCAATACAGTTCTTAAAATAAACAAAACCACTTCTTTACCTTGTACTAATTTAATCATTTCAATGACAACAGGTGTGACAGTGCTGCGGAACTCGCCAAGAAGACTCAAGTATAACACTTCTGTACATGCCTGAAAACAAAATACAGTGAAGCCTGTACTAAGTGGACCCCACAATTATCAAACAGACACCCTCTAATATAAAGCAGCGATTAGCCTTGGCAGGTTTCATAATTGAATTATTAATCAGAGTTCCTACCCTCAGATTGTATCGCCATGATTCACCAGCTTCTTCATTTACTGTCAAGGAAAAGTTCAATTGGCATTCTTCAGGCTTTTGCTATACTTAGCCACTCATCTTTAATAACATTTATTTAGTTCTATGCTTTGACTTAAATTGATGGATACATTCAAAAGCATGTAAATAGTAGGACTGGTCAGAGAATAAGACCTAGCCCAATATAAAGCTACATGTATGTAATGCAAACATCAGCTCAAACTCAGGACTTCACCAAGCCTTGCATGTTTAAGTCCACATGCATGTATGGTATGATGGGTAGAGATAACTCACACAGGAATACACAGTTATTTTATATCCCCAGAAAACTACAGTGTCAGATGAATTGCAAAGAGTTTTTCTGTGGAGCTAATCCATAAGCTTTTCTGCAACTAAATATCAAGAGAGAAGGAGTGACATTTTGAAATCAACGGACAATGATGGTCATTTTTCCAGTTTTGGATTTTTGAAACTTTTAAAAATGGAGTTTGATTCACAAACAACTTGAAAAGTGAGTAATGCAGGGGAAAAAACTTACCAAAACTTTCAGGATCACTGTCCCAGTTCTCTAAATCCTACAGCAACAATGAAATAAAATTCTTAATGCAGACACCACATCTAAACCTCATTTTTTTTTTTAACAATAAACGACTGGCCATCGTAGGTATTAATGGTTCTTGGATCCATCAGTATGAAACTGAGAGCTGTGTTGAAATTACATGTATTCTGTTCGGATTACAGTGTGCTGGTCTGTTTTGTTCTGGTACCTATTAAATACTCAGTGAAACATAGGGAAGTAGCATGAATTTCTCATGGAGTACGCACCAAAGAGAAAGGTAAATCCAAGCATTCTGATTGGATTAGAGTAGACTTTATTTAATCATGATAAAATTCATCAGCTTTAAAAAACAATTTGTGAATAACTAACCTACAGTTAATAACATGTAAAATATTAAGCAAAAAGCTGCCTTCCAAGAATGCTGTGCCTTAAAGTACTTCTGACCAAGGAAGAAATATGTTACCAGTGCCCCTGAACAGGGGCACTGTACCGTGTACCGTGAATAAAATTCATAGTACACTCAACAAGACCACCCAATTCCGACAGGAGAAAAGCAGTACTAAAACTAAATGTTATTTTCAAACTGTGCTTTGTAGAAGTACCTTCTACTCTACAGAATACACCTTATGTTTTCATGGCATCAAAGATAAAACTACATCACCCAACGTTTTTCCAAAATTGCTTGAAAGATTCTGAAGGTGACATGACGTATTTCCAAGAAAAATGTTTAATGTCAAAGCTGTCAATGATGGTGTATGCATCAAAATATTCATTTGGTTAATGCTATATATTTCCTAATGTTTTAACAAGCAACTGATCATTCATACAAAAGAATGAATGAACAAATTAATGAATAAATGAGTTTAAAAAATAACACCAAAAAACAATACTTCACCTTACCTCAGAAGTTAAAGGGAAATATCGTAAAATGAGTTGTCGAATTATTTGTGATAGTACTGTTGGTGTAAAAAAGGCCATCTTAACCTGAGGAAAAAAATTTTACAAAATTTTGGGTACACATATTTATAATTTAAAGTAGCTGGGTGATGACAAAAGCAGTTAAACAGGATCACTAACAATTATTTTACCATTAACCTTTACAGTGTTACTTATTTGAATAAATATATAAACTAAAGGTAATTCGTTTTTTTATTTAGGTTGTTGCCCGGCTACTATAACATATTTACAACATGTTTTTAAAAGTTACTGCAGAGGGCTAATAACTTAAGTCAACCAATCAGATTGATTTATTGCTGGTTCAATATTTTCCAAGTACTTGGACTAGACAGTGTCCTGAATGATCTCCTGTGACAACTCTTGAAAGTTTTTTTTTTTTGGCAGTTTTGTTGCTTACTGTACTAAAAAATTAATTCACATGTAAACAATAGGTTTTCTGCTTCTTCAAGCTTTCTTTACTTTCTTTCTTTAAAAATGTCAGATGTGAGTTAAAACACTATCACTTGGCTTTCAATCAAAATTGTGCACTTGAAGTTTACAAAGTCTTTTAAAACTGCTTTGTTGGATGTTTTCATCCCAATAAAATAACCATTAAATAATATATCTACTGTAAATTATTAGACATTCGCATGGGTGGCATTGCTGTATATTCTGCAATTCTTGTTACATATGATGTTAAATGACATATTAATTATAATGTTATTTAATTATCATATTATCATCTGACGTCAGATTTTGGTCTACAAACCTGGTGTGCCTTGAGGATTGCCTGAGGAGTTGTATCTAAAAAACATTACATTGTGTTGTCTGTGAAAGTCTAATGATTACTTAATTACTTAATTATAAAAATTTTTAAGTGAATTTATCACTTTGGTTGAGAACTTTCAAAACAATATTCAAATTTGATTGTCTATGCATTTTATGAATGGGGATAACAAAGCATCCTTCCAACTCTACTGTGCATGCCTTCCCCTCAGTCTTTCTCCTGCCAATCTCTCCTCACAAATTCCATCCCTCAACCTCCCCTTTCTCTAATTCTCTCACTCATGAGTAAGACCACCTCCCTGCACATCCCTCCAATCAGCATTTATCAATCTGAGTATACAGACTTAACCTATAGAGAAAACTACAAGAAAAAAAAAACACAAAACAAAACAAAAAAAACAAAAAAAAAAACATGAGCAGAATACGAAACCATGTACATGTCCAGCCCCAGGTTGCGTACTTATAGCTATGCTGATGCATGTTGTGTGTTATACAGTAGGGATTCAAGATTCAAGATTCAGTTCATATAAAGACACCTAGTCTGAAATTTCAAGCACTCCTTAATTTGGTTGACACAGTCTACAATGTATTACGTAAGACAGAATTAAGATGAGGTTAAATAGTTTCAAGCACTTTGCAACTGTGCGGGAAGCTTAATAGTCACCATACATCAGAGTCATCCTACCTTTAATTTCTCTTGGGGGTTGGTACATATTACACTTGACAATGATTTTCATCAGTTTACAGCACTGTAATGCAAATTTCTCAAATATATCTTCTGCAAAAGAGTAATAAGCGTTATTATTAAAAGTGATTAAAATAAGCAAAACATGTTTGACAGGAAGTGTNCTCACTTGATGGAATGCAAATCGATGTTATTTGTTACGAACCGCACACCTTATCTTTGAGCCCTTTCAAATTCTTTTTCCAATAGCTTCATTGATCTTTACAGCTGCAAAGTTGTTTTATCAAGCGATATGAGAAAGAATGAAGCATAAAGCTTTGCATCCATAATGACAGTTGACATGAAACTTTGAATTCACCCCATATAAGAAGTTGTGAAGAATTACATTTTGTGATGTCTTACATGAAACAAAAAAAAACATATTAAACAAACCCTCGAGAGTGTGCGGTATGGACTGGAAATCATCTTTAGCACCTGACAATTTGTATTCCTATCTCATGGAATACACTGGACCTCTCTGTACCATTGGTCAAATTATAATCTTATGTTGAGTATTGTTTTGCAAACAGACAGTCAAACACAAACTAAGGTTCAGTGTCACCTAATGGCTTTCTGGCTGAACATTTTTACTTATCGGTAAAACATTATTAAGCTTGGTGCTAAATTTGTCCTTTTTGACTGGTCAGGAATAGTTCTTTTGTGGGAAGAAAATTTAACAAGTTCTCTTGTTTTTGTATTAACAAAGCCATGCTGTGTACTGCCAGTACCTGTCTAAATAATTGTCTATCAGGGATTAACCTCTTGGATGCCAACATCTTAATAACATGATTTAACACCAGTAAACTTTGCTGTTGATGTAGGGTTTCTTTGCTTTGGACTGCCTAAATTAGAAGCAGAGAAGACAAAAGTAAAAGTACTGAAAACTTATAACTCACATAAGGATCCACAACCAAAATGCAAAACTGTGAGCAGACATTGTCGGTTAGTTAGGGTGTCAGAATAGAAAAATGTACATATATGCAGCCAAGGAAAGACCGTGATCACATTGCTGAGAAGATGAACAGGATGTAACATGAAAAGTGGGACAACATTTCTCATATTACAGCTGTACATGTTAACAATTTAACCATTGGAATTTAAATTTCTAGGAGCAGTTTTACCACTCCAAAGGTTTTGAATGATAGTACCAGGGTNCTCACTTGATGGAATGCAAATCGATGTTATTTGTTACGAACCGCACACCTTATCTTTGAGCCCTTTCAAATTCTTTTTCCAATAGCTTCATTGATCTTTACAGCTGCAAAGTTGTTTTATCAAGCGATATGAGAAAGAATGAAGCATAAAGCTTTGCATCCATAATGACAGTTGACATGAAACTTTGAATTCACCCCATATAAGAAGTTGTGAAGAATTACATTTTGTGATGTCTTACATGAAACAAAAAAAAACATATTAAACAAACCCTCGAGAGTGTGCGGTATGGACTGGAAATCATCTTTAGCACCTGACAATTTGTATTCCTATCTCATGGAATACACTGGACCTCTCTGTACCATTGGTCAAATTATAATCTTATGTTGAGTATTGTTTTGCAAACAGACAGTCAAACACAAACTAAGGTTCAGTGTCACCTAATGGCTTTCTGGCTGAACATTTTTACTTATCGGTAAAACATTATTAAGCTTGGTGCTAAATTTGTCCTTTTTGACTGGTCAGGAATAGTTCTTTTGTGGGAAGAAAATTTAACAAGTTCTCTTGTTTTTGTATTAACAAGCCATGCTGTGTACTGCCAGTACCTGTCTAAATAATTGTCTATCAGGGATTAACCTCTTGGATGCCAACATCTTAATAACATGATTTAACACCAGTAAACTTCGCTGTTGATGTAGGGTTTCTTTGCTTTGGACCGCCTAAATTAGAAGCAGAGAACACAAAAGTAAAAGTACTGAAAACTTATAACTCACATAAGGATCCACCACCAAAATGCAAAACTGTGAGCAGACATTGTCAGTTAGTTAGGGTGTCAGAATTGAAAAATGTACATATATACAGCCAAGGAAAGACTGTGATCACATTGCTGAGAAGATGAACAGGACGTAACGTGAAAAGTGGGACAACATTTCTCATATTACAGCTGTACATGTTAACAATTTAACCATTGGAATTCAAATTTCTAGGAGCAGTTTTACCACTCCAAAGGTTTTGAATGATAGTACCAGGGTTTGATTGTAACAGATAAACTAAAAGATACATGTAGAGCAAGATTAAAGGGTAAAATCAATCCACATCCTTCAGAAGAGATAGAAAATCTTTATGCTTGATTGATTTTTATTCTGTGGGTGACCTGAATACACTTGTAAGTACTGTTAGTACTAATTGAATATCTAATATCATTGCTTTTTTAAATTGATCATTAAAGTGCCATTGAAACGAAACTTTCGTACTCTCTTTTATTATCGCAATCTATAGTTTCAAATGTGCTTAAAGTAATGGTGAACTTTATTTCTGTCAAATCCTTACGGAAAGTGCTTTTTAACCGCGCGGCCATGGGCCGAGCGC